AAAAGTTTTAAAAAAGATAAATGCTAAGCTATGTGAAAGTACCTGTGTGTACCATTTCATCTAATTTCATCAATATTCCATGTAAGTTCCAGGAAAGTTCTAAGAAACCTAATGTCAATCAACCCCAAATTCAGGGAAATTGGTGTTATATCTGGCTGTACTACTGAGTACGCAACCTTATGCATATATGAGTATGACTGATTAATGTGTTATGTTAACTTCGCTCCTTCATTAGGAAAAAAAAAAAAAAGACCATTTAGCTGCATTAAAGTCTGTTGAGTTCATGTCGAATTCTTGCATCTCCTGAAACCAGCAGATGTTTTCTTGGGTCCACAAGTTTCAGACCACAGCTATATAAAGACAGTATAATTACTGGACCAGTTTGAGCAAAGTCAGCCATGCCCTTGCTCTGCAACACACACACACACACACATATATGCAACATGCATATAAGTTAAGTACAACCTACATATAGCACATGGTTTCCAATTTTTACTTCCACAGAACTGCACAAGAACTTTTCACATTTGAATGTATATCTGAGCAGCGTTTCAATCTGCCAAAAATAACAAAACACCACAAATATAAAATTGAACTTTTACTCTGAGGTCCAGGTGTTACTGTTCGCTTTGCATATTTCAATGGAGTTCATTTTTCCTAACCATTTTCAAACACTTGCTCAAAAATGCGCTTGGTGTGACTTGGAAAAAAAAACAAAACAAACAAACAACACGTACCCCTCGAACACATTTCTGCTCTTTGTGGCCGCGGACTTTATTTTATTGGGTTTTTATGAGATAGATCAAAACAAAGTGGCGCATAATTTTGAGAGTGAACTACCATTTGTGGCATTGACAGCTGCAAAAAATTCTGGCGTATGTTTCAGCCAGCTTTCTACATCTGATGACTATTTTCCTTTTTTATTTTTTTCTTTAATTCTTCTTAAACTCATTCAGTAGTGAACAACAATTTCCAAGTCTTGTCACAGATTCTGAATGGGATCTTGACTTTGACTTTGATTGCAACCATCAAAGTCTATCTCTGTCTACTTGTGTTTGATCATTGTGCTGCTGGAAGGTGAACATCTATTCCAGTCTTACGTCTTTTGCTGCTACAAACAAACTTTTTTTTTTTTTTTAAGGCTGACCATATCCCACATGCTTGCTATGAGCCTTGTGCAACTTGTTGCAAAGTGAAAACCTCAATTTGGTGACCTCTACAAGGCAACTAATTGCATTGGTTTTTGTTCAGGGGCATTCTAGTAAAGCAGGTTGAAAAAAAAAATGCATTTCACTCTAGTAAAACACATATCCTTTGTGGATGTCATGACAAAATTCGAAAATCTCACAAAGTCCTAAATTCCAAAATGTTCCCACACTTTTTGAAAAGTAATTCATCTTTTAGAGGAACCTCCCCCCAACCCCTAAAGTTGTTTCAAAGTAATTTTACTAATCAAAGAGGGATTATCGCCTTCACTTGACTTTGAGGCTTCAGCGTTTCCAAAACACGGGTCGACTTTAGGACTTCCTGGTCAGTTGAGGGGGTTTTAATGAGGGGATTTTCAGTTTGAGCAGTGATGCAAGACTCAAGTCATAGACGATCAGCTACTATAATCAGGCCTTCATTCATTCACACTTCACCCTTCATGCGCTGCGTGATTCTGCCTCTCGTCCTCTTGAGTGTTGCGCCCAGGGTTTTACAGCTTTCACGGCGGGCGACGAAAATCTGGTTTGATCTGACCCGTGTGCACAGAAAGAAGCCTGTGTCAGATTTTCCTTTTACAAATCAATTAAAGATGCCACACACTTTCAAGGGTTGTAGATTTTATGTTAATGGTTGAAACTTGGATAAGGATGATGCAATTGATGTCTGAGAAACACTTCAAACAAAGTATTTCAAGTTTTTATTCGAGCTTCATGAGATACTCCGAATAAACAGCTAAATTAGCCTGAAAGTAACACAAAGCAGCTGTGGAAAACAAAGTGAGGGATCCAACAAAAAATCAGAAAAAAAAAAAAAAAAACATTCACTCAGTCAGATTGGATAGGAAGCATCTCTGTAGTACATCAACTTTTAAGACTTGCTAAAGCTTCTCAATTGGATTTTGGCCCAGATGTCGACTGGGCCGTTTTAACACGTGAATATGCTTTGATCGACGCCATTCATTACAGCTATGTCTCCACCACAGTCTCAAATCGTTTTCAGCCCGTGACCTTCCAGGGTTGCCCTGTATTTAGCTCCACTCGTTTTACCATCAACTCTCACCAGTTCCTCTCTCTCTGCTAAGTAATTCTGCCACCGCGCTCAAGCCTGCCATGAACTGGATACTACTTGGGCAACACCATTGTCATCCAGAATAATTTTACATCACCGCTAACCGAGGACGTGCGAACAAAAGGAAAAAGTATGTGCTCTGAAATTGTCGCTTTAAAAGTATGCAGAGATTTTCAGGTTTGTGGAAAACAGTCTTAAGGCGAAATGGGACAAAATCTAATTATCCGACTGCGGTGAAAAGAATGAGGTTAAAGCCAAAGATGGAGGTGGCAGCATCATGCTGAAGGACTATTTTGAAGCAAGATATAAGCATTGAGAACTTTTTTTTTTCAAATTCTTCAACTTTATATTAATATTAATCAAAACATTTAATATTTCAAGTCTTAAAATTTGTTGGTTCCAGCCCCACGTTCACATCCCAGACACACATCAGAGCGGGACTCAGTATTGATAAATCAAATGTTAAGCTTCTGGAACAGCTTTCCCAGAGCTCTGACATCAAATCTAACGATAAATTTGTGGGCTATGATTTAATACTGCGCCTGTGGTGGAAAGCCAACAAATATTTAAGTGACTTTTATGAATTCTGCCAAGGGGAAAGGTCAAATATCCAGCCAGAATTATACCAGAAACGTTTATAAAATTATATTTTTGATCCAGTGCCTGAGTTTTGTCATCTAGACAAGTCAGGTACAAGATAAACAGGTACAGTGTTTTTTTTTGTTTTTGTTTTTTTTTTTAAACACGGTGTAAATAAGCCCAAGTCCAAAAAGACAAAGAGCAAGATCAGCTTGAGAGACAGAAAATGACAGAGAGTGTGAAGGAGTGAAAGTGGGCACAATATGCTGCACAGAGGTCAGGTCACAGAGGCCAGAGCGGAGACGGAAACGCCGCTCAGATCAGCTCAGCGGCTGACAGCTCTCTGACAGGGATTAGAGGGCTCTCTGTAAATAATAGGGGTTCAGTCCTGGGGCAGCCAGCTCCTCTACAAAGCGTTCATTTCTCAGTTTCTCTTTCTCCGTCTCCTCCCCGGGGCCAAGCATTCTCACACACTTTTGGTTTTTCCGAGTGATATTTTCATCAGCAGCCCAGCAGCTTGGTATTTTCCTACTGAGGGGAAATAGTTCCACTAAGTGGAATGCTTCTGGGCCCTCGTCTGCATCTTCTCAAACTGAGACGTTCCAGATTGTCCAAAAAATTGAAGGAAAGGGGGAAAAGAGGAGACAGTGATGACGCCATTGATTTAATGTGAACATCTGGGAGCCAGACGCATTCAGAGACCTAATATAGACACAGAGAGCAAGAGGTGGGCAACCTGTGTGGTTGGGTGACACATCAGCTGCTCTTTGAGGAGTTTTTTTTTTTATAACGGGGAAATATGGGCTGTAGTTCAGCAGTAAACACCTGCGTGGTGAACGATGTGCACAAAACCTTTTTGTCTAACCGTACATTTAATCAATGTTACCGTTTATCAAATAACAACCCCTATATGGCAAACTGCCATAACATAAAATCAAACCATACATCAATCTGTAAGTTTGTCTTTCAAAAATCATTAACTGGTTTCCTCCTTGTCAAATTGAAAGTTGTGACTGGACATAAAGATATTTTGAACAAGGTAATACATACATTTTTAGATTTTCCTTGTTAGGAAGCATTTTAATGCATACGCAAATTAATTAGAAGTTTAAGTAGACTGGCTGGGTGTTTAGTAGAGTCTTTCTCTACGGTTTCTACTTGTATCTTCTCTTTCTCCACTTGCCCATTCCTGACTCATTCTTGAAATTTATGTCAGGCTCCGCTTTGACAATGCGACATTCTGCAGTTGAACTGCAGCCTTTAAAGGTTCCACGACTTATTTTTGGTTGACGAGCCTATGCACAATTTGGAGGTATGTGCGCTTTTCGCTGTTTTGCAGCTCTATATGTCAGGCAGTCCGATGCAAAGGTCTTGGTCAAGGTACTCTATTTATTAATGTGGAGATAGTGGATTTTTGATTCCAGCTATTTTTTTTTAAATTCTGTAGTGCTCTCCTGTTGTAAGTTTTCTTGTTATGTCTGATTTTCCATGCTTGTGTCTTTGTTGTTGTTTTTTTTCGACAATTTTAAGTACATCATGATTAATAAAACAAGGATTACAATTAAATAAATAAATAAATAAATAAATAAATAAATAAATAAATAAAACAACCCCTTGCTGTAATGCTTCCAATAATTCAGCTAAAAAATTTTATAAGTTTTAAAAGTTTAAACACAAGAGAAATACTTTGTTGCAGGCTTTTGTCATACAAGCAAAGCAAAACACTATATCCCTTCGAAATCTTTGCCATATGTAATGTTCAACTGAAAAACACAGTTCTGTCAGAAGAAATAAAACCCAAAGGTGCAATAACTCAGCTCCACAACAAACAAACCTATAATTTGTTGAAGCACATTTTTTTTTGTTGTTGTTGTTTTTTTTATCCATTAATCAACATTTCAAATTTAGTCTTGTATTTGTTAGACGATATGCCTGAAGGATTGAGGATTATAGGACTGTCGGTCATTACATTATGAAAAACAAGCCTGTTAAAATACACGTTCTGCTTTTGAACTGAACTTATATCCTGTCATGTTAAACTAAGCAAGTTCCAGAGAGCACAGCTGTCTTCCAGACACGCCTTAACCACCAGGGCTGCCCGCACCATCAGGAGAGGAAGAGGAGGAGAAGGAGGAGGAGGACTTTTAGGTGAAAGTGGAGCAGAGGAAAAGGAGAGGAAACTTTCCGCAGAATGCTGTCCCTGTCCTCGCAGACCTTACGCTGGGCTGTCAGCAGAAGCTTCGGGATCAGAGGGAGGGAAGCTGCAGAGGATGACAGCTCGTGCAGAGGGACGTAGCTCACCTGCGGAGCAGAACCGCGTTTATACAGTGTAAACAGAGCGGAACCGAATTCCCAATTTTAATGCCCGGGCTTTTCCTCACCAGTGATGAGTTGGCTCCTGTTGTGGATTCTGATAGCAGCTGGGATTCAACAGGTGAGCTGAAGGGATTTTTTCCAACCCCCTGTTGTTTGTTGAATGAATATGCCACTGCAGATTTATTTATGACTTCTGTGTGTGTGTGTTTTTTTTTTTTTTTTAATTATTATTATATAATTGAGGAAAAGGCACTGTGTCTATTGTTCAGGTGTTTTTTTCTTTTCATGGATCAAGATGCTTGACAATTTCTCAAAAGTATTTAAATTCTCTTCAGCACATCTGAAAATAAGCTGTTATAGTTACCCACATTTCCATTATTAGATAAACTTGCAATGTGAGCAGACGCCTTGTGTGTTTTCTCGTGTTATATGTTAGCGCCCTCTTGTGGTTTGTCCAAGAAACGCTTTTCACTTGGCTCGGACTTGTTTCTTGAATTTACTCCAGTTCGCGAACATCAATTAGTGACCATCTGTTGGAAATTGTAAAGATATAATCAACAGCAGTGGGTTGTACTTTACTTGACATAAAACTTGAACTCATCTGACGAGTAAAGTAACATAAATAAAAGCAAAAAGATGTAAAAGATGTATAAAGTAATTTTAAGACAAGGCATACACAGCAAGAAAAAAAAATGTTTCAGATGTTTCTCTGACATCCAGTTAAAACATATTAAGTTGGAAATGCATCAGTTAAGGAATGTGTGTTTCTTATTTTAGGTGTGTTTCACATAAAATGTTCTAGAACTTTTTAATATCAGATGGTTAAAAAAAAAAAAGATCAAAATTTACTCAAAAGACTCTCTTTATTGCATTTGGAGCCAAATTATTACTATCTGAATGAATAATTTCAATTTTTGAAATGGAAATAAATTGCAGGGCCCTCAGGACCGAATGCCTTCGAGGCTAACATGCAACTTTCCCGTGTTCTGCTGGCGCTTCTCAGCAAATAAAGACCTTCAGCATGCAGTGAAACTGTGTCACTAAATGGGTTGGCATATTAAAAGGGAGTAGACAGTTTTAACCCTTAAAGTACAGTACAAATCTGCCTGCAATTTAACAAATGTTAAGTGCACTGAGCACACAATCTTTAAAACTAATGTTCAGATCCCAGCTCCTCCTTGGTTTCACGTCTGCTCTCTCTTTGTATGAGCAGTAGTCATAAGAAGAGCTTGTACTTAGCTTGTCAAAATGACTCACGTCCCTGTTTGATTTAGGTTTAACTTCCGTTTAATTCAGCCAAAAACCTTTTCTGTGATAGAGAAAAAAGATGGCTGTCACTTAGAACGTGATAAAACAATGTGAAAAGTGTAACAAGCAAAAATAATTTTACAGTTTTTCCGTAAAACATTACATGTTGGGCAGCTGAATAACCGGTGGGAAAAAGCTTTTTTGGCCCTTCTTATAACTGCTGACCAACTTTATGCACACTGGTATTTTGATCATTTTATTTTGTCTTTGAGGTTGGAAGGTTTCGTATCTGTTACCCTAATCTCTTTAGATTCCCAGTAGGAACATGACTAATATTGGAGATAGCTGTTCATCACTCTTTCTTTTGCAAATAGACGTGTGACTGCAGGCTAAATGAACTCCTCTGAGGGTCGGCTTAGTGGCACAGCTTTGATTAAAACTCATTAATCAGCATTAGCTGACAACATCACACTGACTTATTAATAATATGATTCTAACTCCAAATGAAGGGCTGACAACAGGATTTAAAAATTGACCAATAAGCTTAAGATGATTAAATATGTTTTTGCCATAATTACTTGTGGATTAGGCATGCATGCTTGTGTGTGTGCGTGTGTCTTTTAAAGATGTGAGTTAAAGGCTTCTGTTTTCTCCAGGAGGATGAGTCAATCTGTGATTTATAACTTGACTATATTTGGACCTGCAGTCATGTGTGCCGTCTCTTGGCTAAACTTTGCCACATTGCGGATAATGCCGATGGTCAATCGTAAAGTCTTACATTAGATCGGTTATTGTATTTTCCTCAAATCTGTTCTGAAATGATTATTAGCTGCACAATTTGTTCTTGGACAAAATGCATTTGAAATTAAGATGGCAAAACAAACAAGTAACTTCTGATCCTGGGGCTGTTAATGAATCTCCAGTGATCTCTGCCAGTCCATCAACAACGGAAGAGAAACTCTGATTCATTATCAGTATTTTGTAACGTTTTACCAGACTCGGATCCATAACGAGATCCTGATGCAGATTTAATAAGATTATCTCCACAGGGACTTGAGCTCACTTTAGAATAACTCCTCTATTGAAGTTATCGCATAGTGTGACCACATGTTAGTGATCATGCAGGCAGTGAATCAATTAGGGATGTGAGAGCTTTCAGATCAGTCATCCATGTGAGCGTTATCAAAGAGGGTTGAGTATGAAAAGAGTCAGGATAAGGAATGTTACATGTAATACTTAACAACACAGCAAATACAATTTTCTTTCTGCAGTCCTTTGCAAACTAAACAACGTAGAATCTGGCATTGCCATTTTTAACTTTAGAAGCTTACTCAAGATTTTATTTTTTTTTTTTTTTTGATGCAAAAATATAACCATAGCAACCGAGTTCTTGTATATATCAACAACATACTTATTTTGCTGGAACACATTTGAAAAAGTATGTTCATTATAAATCGTAAATTGCTATTTTCAAGCATTCTTGTGGTAACACTTTACTTGAAGGCGTGTGCATAAGACTGACATGACGCTGTCATAAACATGACATAACATCTGTCATGAACATTCAGAAGTCTTTATGAATGTTTATGACAGTTGCCATGAAGTGTCATTCGGTAAATAATGACACTTTCAATGCAAAGTTGCTCTAAAAGTTGCATTAAAAGTCCATTAAAAGTGCCAACTTTGCTTCTTTCCTTCCAGGCCTACTCCCTGAATTCCACTGCCATGCCTCCCGCCACGGCCCTCGCCTCTCCGACTCCAGACCCGTACAACGTGACGCGCTACTGCAAGTGGCCCTGCGAGTGTCCCGAGGTGGCGCCCAAGTGCCCCCCTGGCGTCAGCCTCCTCATGGACGGCTGCGACTGCTGCAAGGCCTGCGCCAGGCAGGTCGGGGAGGAGTGCAACGAGGCCGACACCTGCGACTTCCACAAGGGGCTGTACTGCGACTACAGCTCGGACAAGCCTAGGTACGAAAAAGGAGTGTGCGCATGTAAGTGTCACTCGCTGGAATGACCATCTGGTCTTCACACAACAGGAACAACTCGGTTCACATTCTCGCATTTGCATGCTACTTTGTCAAAGCGTTTGGACATTGACAAGGAATGCAGCTGGTATTAGATAAACAACGCAACTGAATATGTAAATGGCTACAAATCAAGCTAAATGCTAGCTTTATTGCCCTCCCCGTGTGCTGGCACTCCAGATATGATATGCAAAGCCTTAATAAACCCATTAATTTACCCATTTAATTATTATATGACAGTAACGCCTTACTTTCAGAGTACATTTATTAATTATTTGCTGGAACAAAAATTATCCATTGTAAGAAATATGAATGAAACAATAAATCTACATTCCCTGTATATATATATATATATATATATATATATATATATATATATATATATATATATATATTCATAGTCATGAATACTTGATAAGCTAATTAACTATACAGAAAACTCATTTTAGTCTCTTATTAAATACAATAGTCTCAGATTGTATTTAAACTGTATCAGTGTACAGGGTAAATATTCTTTGTTATGGAACCTAAATTGCACACTTTATTAAAAAAAAGGAATTAAAGGAATCTAAATGATGTATAGGTATTAAAACTAGCAATCTCAGATCAAAACAAACGTGCAGCTGAGGCAGGCTGAGAAAAACGAACAAGATGTTTGTGCACGGAAAGCATCGAGGTTATTTACAAGAATTAAACAACTGTACAAATAGCAGCAGAAATGTGAATAATTATGGCGTTGTTGAGATACACACAAGCTGTATGATCCTGGTCAGAGCTATTTTTGCAGAGTCTTAAGCTCCTACTGTAATTCTGCTATAATCTAATGACTGGATATAACAAGGTTCCTCCCTATTTAGAGACATGTGTTTAAAACACAGTGCAGCACTACAAGCATCTTGCATTGCAGACCGAGCTGTTGATCTACATAACATGTGTCCACTTGTCGTTTCTATCAGATATGACGGGAACGGGCTGTGAATATGACGGCGTGCTCTACCGTAACGGTCAGAGCTTCAAGCCCAGCTGTAAATACCAGTGTTTGTGCGTGAACGGCGCCATCGGTTGTGTGTCCCTGTGCTCAGAGTCCCAGCCTCCCAGGGTTTGGTGCCAAAGTCCGCGGAGAGTCAAAGTCCGGGGGCAGTGCTGTGAGCAATGGATCTGTGACGAGCCAAAGAAAGGACGCAAGACAGCGCCGCGGCACGCCGTGGAGGGTATGACACCCGGGATAGAAACGGGGGCAATGGTTATTTTGTCTATTAAAACATTTCCCAAGAAATCGTCTTCATTAGAAAAGAGCAAGATGATTACTGACGACCTAGAATTTAGAACACAGTTAAAATACAGAGAATAATCAATCTGTGTCCCGCATTACTTTCACAAGCAAATCATTTCATGTAGACACCAGTCATGAAATGTGTAAAAAGTAACAGCTATTAGGGTTAAAGGAATAAATGTAAAGCCATTTTCAGTCTTTTAAAAATTTCAGATTCTGTGGTATTATGTAAATAATTCATGATCAGACAAGAAGATATGACAAAAATGTGAGAGAAAAAAATCAACCAAAGTCAAACAAACAAACAAAAAACAACCTTTTTTTTCTGGTTCACTCGCTGTACTTTTGCAAATACTGTTTTTAAATCCAAGAAGATCACAAGATGTGGGAGTGTGTATGAATTTGTTCATCCGAGCCTTTTTTCCCGTGGAAGGCCCCCCCACACTGTTTTTTGGGGGTCACTTCCAGGTTCCAGACGGTTAGAGCAACAACCGGGACTTTGCCTTCGTTACTTTGTCACGAAGGCAAGAAAACCAGAGCAGATCTTGTTGGGTTGCACACGTGGACAAATTAGATTCAGATGCCGACATTAGTGTGTCTTGATGCCTTAGATTGGAAACAGATGCAGTGTAGATGAAGATCTTGCGTTTTGTAATTTCAAATGAAATCGTATTCGCCTAGTCCCAAATCACAATCGCTCGCGACGCCGTATGAGACAAACAGGTCTAATTCCAAGTTGACAGAGGTATCACATGTCAGTGACTCTAATCATTAAAGGGAAATATGCATGTTTAATGAGCACAACCAGAAAGAAAACACAGCGTTAAAGGCAGCAGTCATTTCAAATAACACATAAATGGACAGTAGGAATACAAATGTGCTATTGTTGCACCCTTAAAAAGAACTGAAAAACTCATATGGATTTTCGCTTTTGTGCAACTTCATTAAACAAAATCCACTTTTTGAGCAAACAGCGTGTGTAGTTCTCTCTCTTTCCGTATACAATCACAGGTCATGAACTTTTAACTCCCATCATGCATTGTGTCGTTCTTAAAGGGGTATTATCATGACAAGTTGGAGGATTGACCGGTCGGTCAAAACCCTTGAACTTCTTTAAGTCAGTCATTAACTTTATTTTTTTGAAAATGTTTAACATGTCATGGCCATGTTGCGTGATAACATTACGGATTTGTTTGATAGCGACTATAAAAAATGGGATTGAATTTGAAAAATCAACTGCTGACCTCACATTGCACCAAGTGCAACGGAGGATGAAAATGTGAGAACTGAACCTCTTGTGCGTGTAGCATAACTCTTTGCTTCCTGCTCCTGCCAATCTAGTTTTTCCAACTGAGAGCTGGCACAAGAACTGCATCACTCAGACCACCTCATGGAGCCCCTGCTCCAAGACCTGCGGCCGCGGCCTGTCGTTGAGGATCTCCAACGCCAACGACCAATGTGAGCTCGTCCAAGAGTCCCGTCTCTGCAATCTGAGGCCGTGTGAAGTAGACATCACCAAGCACATCAAGGTAGGCGTGTGCACTTTCGGCGTCATTGAGGGTTCCCAAAAAGCCTCGGTCCTAAAAGCTTGTCTCGTTCCTTAGCCAGGAAAGAAGTGCCTGAATGTCTACAGGGAGGATCAGCCCTCGCACCTCACCATTTCTGGCTGCACCAGCAAGAAGTGGTACCGACCAAAGTACTGTGGCGTTTGCACCGACGAGCGCTGCTGCATCCCGTACAAGTCGAAGACCGTCGACGTGGAGTTTGAGTGTCCGAACGGGACCGGGTTCACTTGGAAGATGATGTGGATCCAGGCGTGCTTCTGCAACCTTAGCTGCAGGAATCCCAATGACATCTTTGCAGAGCTGGAGAGCTACCATGGTTACCCGGAAGTCGTGAACTAAAATGCTGCAATTTGGCAAAGAACACTTCTTTTGTTTTGTTTTTGTTTTTTTGTTTCCTAAAAGATATTTTGAGTTTTTAAATGTGCAATCTATATTTTTTCTTTTGAAAAAAATTGTAAATATGAAATGTGTCTCCAACACAGATTCGTGTAGTAAAAATATTTGAAGAGGTAAAGCAATAAAAGCCTATATTTAAAGTTTAATTTATTTATGTAGAGTTTCTGATTAACGCTGCGCATCTACATCGGCTTGCTCCCTAATCAAGCATCTTCTCAGCCTCATACACACGTTTTCCTCTTTTCATTTTTCGCCCGTTTCTTTGCAAACAAAAAGTAGACAATATTTTCCGCCTTTGCAAAAGCAAAGTATTAAACCAATGGTTTTATTTGGACATTCTGTCCAAATAAAACCATAAAGTTCATTGTATTCCACCGGGAATTTACACTTAAGCTAGAAACTGTGAAGTGAAAAGACTTTTTTTTTTTTTTTTAACTCATATGAAAATGTGGTGTGCATTTGTATTCAGCCCCCCAAAATCTCTACATTTTTTGAAGTTTTATATGTTTTGGAGAGTATGCCTACCAACCGTTCAAATCTCAGATTTGAAAAATACTTCAACCTCAGTCTGGTTGGACAACATTTATGAACATCAATTTTAAAAGGTCATAGAGTCTCAGCCAGACTTCGGTCTTTGACTGGATCTTTCTAAAACATTAATGGGCTTTGATCTAGCCGACTGCCCCACCTTTTCAACTCCCACTTAAGCTGTGGCTCTGGTGACTGTTTTATAGCCTAACCGTGCGTTAAACAGCTCTGCAACTTTATCCGTCTGGTGTAATCCTTGGTTTTCATGAAGCCATTTGTTCATTTTTCTCAAATGAAGCTATGTGCATCACAATAACTTCACTGAACTTTAAGTTCTTTAGGAAAGTTCAGCGGCTGCAGAAGGCACCGTTGACATTTTTCCTGCATTTTATCATTGTCCTTACAAGTACAGAAAGTAAATCAATGTTATAGTTACATTTTGAAATATGCAATAATGCAACAAAAGGGAATCTGTTACAAGTTTTTTTATTGTCATTTTTTAATAAATACAAACTGTTATATCATTTTTAATGCTATTTGTTTGTTTTTTTCCCCCCCGACAGCAAAAGAGATGGTTTGTGCATTGCATCTTTACAAAGCTGCATTTATGTCATCTGCAAAGTAATATGTTGCTGTAGTGCAAGTAAAATACAGGAAATGGTATCGGGTAAGTTCTATGGCTATCCTCATGTTAACATGTGGACCTCTCCGTCTGCACTCACCCAACAAATCCAAAACCCACAGAGGAGCATCACATCTCAAAAGCGAACAATTTCATGGCACTTTTTTTTTTTGTTTTTTTTTGTTTTTTTTCCTTTGTGCTTGATTGCATAGAAATCGGCATACATATAGCTTGGGAGAGAGGGGGAAAAAAACTTAAGGAAATAAGCATATGTGATTGTAAAAACTCGTGTGAATTTGCATTTTAATTCGTTATAAAGCTAATTCTTAATGAAATGTTCAGTCTTAATTCAAGTCGTATTTCGCCTGCAAACAGTCGGTTCGTGCAGAAACCTTAAAGGGAGCAACAAGGGGGAACTAAAATAAAACCCAACACCTCAGACATAATAAACACCAGCTGAATGAAATTATCATTTACAGTATATCCTGAAAACTTTCTCCCTTAATTTGTGAAGCTACAGATACAACGAGCCCTTTACGATTCATCCATCCGTCCGAGTGCTTCCTCGCTCCCTTTCCCTTACGACTACAAATCTGCTCCTACGCACAAACGACGCCACTTGGAAACATAAAGAGTAAATGACTAGACAATTAGTGAGAAGACAACAAGACAGTTACAGCAGGGTAAATTCGAGAAAGCTGTGTCGAAACGTGGTAAAGGTAGAGGGGGGGAAAAAAACAGAAGGAATGCTGGATTTTAATTCTGCTTTAAATGCGAGAGAGATAGTTTACAAGCTGGAGTACTCTTCTTAGCCACAGCTTTCTCTGATATTCTCCGTTTTGGTGTCCCCAGAATGCTGCGTTGCCTCCGTTTGCTCTCCTGCCTGACCGAAGAGTGCTGATGTTTTGTGGCTGGACCACAACTGTTTATTCTAGTCATCTTCGAATGTAGAGACATCTCAGCTGCAGTGGAATATCTGCAAGCAAGAGTCCTTTGTGCGGTTTTTTTTTTTACATATCACAATATGTCATGTTAGTGTTCCTGTCTGCTTTAAGTGTGTATGGATCTGTGTGTGTGTGTTGGTCTGTGTGTATAATTAAGAGGCAGCGCAGCACAAAATCCAGGGACCTTGAGAGGTTCTTGTTGTCTGCAGCGGGCAGGGTGTTGTTGGAGGGGGGCGGGGCGTTCACTTTAGCAGGAGACTTCAGCGGACTTGGGTCCTGACTGGTCCACGTTGTTGTTGGCTGTGGCGTCCGTGTGGCCTTGCTCGGTCGTGTGGCTGCGGCTGCGGCTCCCCTCGTTGGTGTGCGAGCGCGAGCGGTTGCCATCGTGGGTGTGCGAGCGCGAGCGGTTGCCGTCTGAAGTGATGCTGGAGCCGGAGGCGGTACGGGAGCGAGCCAGGCGGGTCATGCTGGCAGAGGGCACTGAGAAAGGAGGAGTGCAGTCAGAATACGGAGTCGACTAAAGATTTAGCTTGTTGCTAAATTAGAAATAAAGCCATTCAGAACCAACCAAAAAGTGGTTAGTCACAGTTTCTTTACGAGTTAGAACGCAACGAAATCACCTTCGGCGTTCTTGCTGCAAAAGTTACACCAAGTTGGATTTGCCGACTGCGCGAATTGACCATGCCAACTACAATTAGCCATAGAAGCTAATAAGGTGCTTTGTGAAGTTTATGCATTCCAACGCTGTAGCAACTAAAATATGAGCAAATCTAGCACTTCCTGTTTTTATGCGTTTAATTTATTTTAATATTTGACTTGACTCAGAACTGATTAAGGAAAACAAAATGGCGAGTTTTTGATTTTTCCCTAATTGTCTGCTCATCTTTTGTGGAAATGAAGCTTGAATTTTGTGGTACCGAAATGAAAATATTTTAATGCTGAAGTATTTTTTTTTTTTTTTTTTTTTTACTTTTTTATTTTTAACTAGCAAAGCAGCCTTTATACATTTTGTTGCATTCCAGTTCATTTTTATAACAGGGAAAATATAAAATTTCAAAACTTAAATGGATGGAGTACATAGACTGAAAATATTTTGCCCATTGTTCAAAACTAGATATGTACAGTTTTGTAAAAACAAATCAAAACAAAACAAAAAAAAAATTAAGATCAGACTGAAAGGGGATGTCGTTATTCTGGAAGTTGAGACTTCTTTGGATAGCTCTAGTTTAGCTTGAAGCAAAGCTACATATAAAGTGGCTCTAAATGGGAGCCTTTGCTTTAAACCACATGATGTAAATAAATATTTTTTAAGACTTAGGCTCATTAAATGAGGTCTGCAAACCATTTAGAAAAAACAAGGGCCGTTAGCACAAACTTCTTCATCCCACCACAAGAGGGCAGAGGCGCCTTAGATAGGGTTGGATCAGAACAGTTCATCTCATCACACACCTAACAATGTCAAAACACCCGAAACTTTTGCTGACTTACTGTATCCCATTCCCTGGATGAAGTACTTGAAAGCCTCTGTCAGCTTTCCGGGCTGCAGGGAGGAACAGAAACACAGATAATCAGTCTCCGTGTCATAAATAATCACTCAGCTTACATAAGACATCAACACGCTCCATCTCTCCATCCAGCAGCTTACAGAGATATGACAGCTGCTACAGGCAGGTGTAGCTCAGTGTGCAGGATTAAAACCTGACGACTGTGGTCCATATCTGCCTCTTCCTAATGCTCTTACATGCCACCTTCTTACACTACTGTCCACCCACACACACACACACACACAAAAACAAACTCTGACTACATGCACTCCTTATCCAGCCACATCCAGTTTGCCCTGCAACAGGAACTTCTATTTGAAAAACAAGAGAACCCACCTGGTCGACCTGGGGCATGCCTCCGCAATCAGCCATCTGGAAAAGGAAAGAGAAAAATCAGAAGCCGTCATTACCTGCCAAAAACAAAAAAACGATACCCAAGATGACCCATTTTACCACCTTGTGCCCCCCCCCCGCCCCCTCTCTGCAATTGTGCTACTTTAGAGTTTCCACGGTGAATCTATTTTTTCAGTTCAGCAGCCATTTGATTTTGGTGCAGCCGATAAAAAGGTGGCCAAAGGCGACCAAAAGTAGGTCAGCTGGTGCAGAATGCACAGGCAAAGTGCGTATGCAAGGACATGTTCAGCTGTGGCAGCGCCGGTTAATATGTCACCAAGTAAGTGCTGACCTGCTGGAAACTTATCAGCCGAAGTGTTTCCATCAAGGCTATTATGATCTTAACGAGAATATGGGAGGGGAGCAGGGAGGTCCGGAGCGGGGCACATGAGTGGAGCAAAGGGGTCTGGACAGAGCTCTCACCTTAAGGAGGGTTGTTTTCGTGGGGTCCAACTTGGTGTTGCACTCCACCTGCAAGCACAAACAACTCCAGTTTATAAAGCTTCCCAGGGAATTCTGACTATACCGCAAATAAGACGGCAAAAGCTTTTATAGCGCTTACATAAATAAACAGTTAGGGGATTTGAGACAATTCCTAAGCTACGAGTAAACCCAGCAACACAAATCTCTTGACTTTAGGAGATTAAATCTAAATCGGAGTCACTTGATCTTTGTTCCTAGAACCATGTTTTTGCACAAGTCAAGTTCAAATGTTGCCATATTGCGGACAAGTAAACCGGCAAATCTTCTCCCCATCAACAGAAGACCGAAGTGGACGGAAAGCACGTTCGGGCCGTTATCTGGAGCGCCAGCAAAGTAATGAGTGACCGGCCTGAACTCACCACAGCATCCACAGCAGGAGAATTGTCGCCGACCACCAGCAGAGAAGGGCACCTGGATGAAAGTTGACCAATATTACAAACTATTGTGTCCTTTACTGCACAATTAAAAAAAAAAAAAAGGAGGCTGCCTATACTTACTTGAGAGTTCTGGTATTACATCCAGGGACTGGCCTCTCAATATCCAGATCCCTCCGGCTATAGAGAGAGGATCAGAAAAATCAGCTGCGTCTTGACTTGTTTAAAAAAAAAAAAAAAACCTTTGACAAAAGTCTTATTCCACTGGCGTTACCTCTCGTAGGCCTTGACAAAGAGATGCAAGTTGAACTGGTTCATGTTGTTCAAGATATGATGGCGGAATGTGGCGATAAGGTCGTGGTTGTGGTGGATCTCCTCCTATAAAAGGAACCAAAAAAAAAAAAAAACTTAGAACCTACATTTATGACCATTTTTAGAAGCCTTTGAGATTTATGGATATAGAAATGGGGAAACGTTGTACCTTTCCAAAGAGGTGGGTAATAATCATATCAAGCTCAGCGTGGGTCCAGCCACTGATCTGAAATTAGATAGAAAAACAATGTAAATAACATTTCTTTGTCATTTACTTTGTTTTGAACATTGTTAAAAATGATCTTGCTTTGATAGGTGTGCAATGAGATCTTAAGGCGTGAGATTTCACAATACTGAAAAACACAGAGTAAAATCTGTTTTGCACAATACTAACTCATTGTTGTTTGATGCAGGTTTCTGTTCAAGCTACCGTTAACAGCCAAAGATGTACTGACATTTTTGTTGGTCTTCAATATGTTACCTTGTGGGCAGCCCAGTCCATCCATCCCTCAGCACATGGGTTGATGTTGATGAGCATGAGACCTTCCACCATATTTGGATAGTCCAGCTAAAACGGGGGAAAGAAAAATGAACTGATGGCGAGTGATTCTGTTTTAGAGCGCAAAATGTCTAGAGTCTCCATTTGGTCATTTTAGGGCGATTACCATCTAAACTTAGGGAATTTAGATGTTGCTGCCCAATTTCAAGCTAAGATCCATTTCAGGTCTTCAATGTTAGAAATGCAAGTCCTGTGCACAAAGTAAATTCACCCATGCAATAATCGGAAATATTCTCTCCAGTACGGAGTTAAAAGCCGTCTCCAACAACACAGAGACTTCCTACGGAGCAAAGTGCTAGCGCTGAGCCGATCGGCCACATTCCTCGGGCTTTTGTGGCTCAGAGGGCTTCGGTAATAAGCAGCCTTTTGAGACCAAAAATAAGCAGGAGGCAGAAACATTAGCTGCTAATCTGAGATTAATTAAAACCCGAATTACGGAGTGTGACTGGGAGAGTGAGAGGCGTGAACTTACGGCGAATCGGGTCAGCACGTACGCGCCGGCTCCGATGCCCATTCCGATGACGCTCTTCAGGCTGCGGTGCATAAAGATACGTGGATACTGTTAGAACAACGGGTTAGAGGATTCCTTACATGAAACGGTGAAAGGCTCATTTGGAAACTGAAGTTCAATTTACCCAAAGTGCTTCAACACCAATGGGAGAGTCTCAGCAAGCTGGTCCATAGAGGGATATTCGTACCTTAAAAAAGAAACAAACAAAAAAACAGAACAATTGAAAAATTTTAAAAACATATATATCCATAGTTAAGTTTATAACATTACATTGCTCATTGTCAGAACACCACCGGTACTGGAGTTTCCGCTTTATGCCAGGACGGCGTTACCAAGGGCCAAAGCACCAACATCAAAGCAAGAGATTATAGAGATAAACGCCTGCCCTAGCGACACACATGTTAAATCAGGATGTCCCAAGTACATCCGCAGGAATCCATCCACCTACCTACCAGCGCCCAGTCAAAGGTCACAGACTGCCTGACGCAGATGGTGTGTGTGCGCATCGACTCACCCACTGGAAAAGGTGTTGGCTCCTTCATGCTGCCCCAAGGCGTCGACGTGACACACGGCAAAATGCTGCATGATTTCCGCCATGTCCTCGTGGTTGAAGAGCGGGTCCCAGCAAGTTTTGTCTGCACACACACACACACACACACACAAGAAAAGGCAAATTAGCCATAATTAATAAGGGCAGGACTTGGATTCTGGAGAAATAAAACGGAATATCAAGTTACACAATAAGTAAAGATGGGAGTTTAAATAATTAAGCAAAGACATGTGGGGCAGTTACCACACAAAGGAAAGGTTTTCAAAAGCTACAATTTCAGAATTGCTTACATTCTCTACCACGTCATTCTTAAGGTTTAAAACTATTTTCATATGAGACACAAACAAAATAAAAAAAACAAAGTTTTTCCCTGGTTTCTGAAGCACAGAGTAAGCAGAATAATTACTTTGAAAGAGCTTACATTATTATTATTTTTTTTTCCTTTTTAAAGAAAACATGAGCAAATCTTGGCGTTCTTCTACGCAAGGTTACCATACCACGAGAGTCTTATTTCGACCCCTGCCTACCGCGCCTGGATAATCTGATCACACATGGCGCAGTCATTAAAAACCCCACCGTCTTTAGGAACAACAGATGTTTCGCTCAGATAAAGCTGAGGAAGAAGCGGGGGGCTTACGGTTCAGGCCAATGTCATGGAAGGTAAGAATGACCGGTCTGTCCCCTTTGGGAGAGCCCTTCATCGTGCAGTGGAGTCTTCCGTGAGGAGTCTCAACATCGTGTTCCTATAGATGCAAAAAAAAAAAAAAAAGGAATTTTTTTTAAAAGCCAATCAAAGTGCTTAAAAGTGAAAGAAAAGTGTCAAGAAAAGCAAAACATATTCTAGAAAACTGATTGAAATCATCACATAATTTATATTCCAATAGCCACTTTACTTAAATCTTCCCAAGGCTGTGAAAATTTTACCCATTCTTGGGAAAAAAAAAAAAACTACGTCAAATGCATTTAAATATGTAGACTCGTACCAATACCATCCACTAGCCATCTAACTCTCAATAAATTTTACTCACGCTGACTTCAATCTCAGCAACAATCATTTCCACATCAGAATCCTCCAGAACCATGTTTGCAGGACTCGAGTTCTAACACCGCTCGCTGTTGGAAAAAAAAAAAAAACGCAACAACGCAGACTCCCTCCCGAGCTACAGGTCTCCACACTTGGTAAGCCTCTGAAGTTGTTCAGCCCGGTGCCTCGAGCTGCATTTTATACCCTCGCTGCTTACCGGCCGGCCTTAAGCTCCCCAGCCTCCCAGGATGCCTTGCAGGCTGGTCAAAACAAGCTAATTCTAGATGAAGACATCCTTAAATTGGATCAGCCGGTGTCGGGCAGAAGGAGGCATCAGTCGGGGAACGGAACAAGCGTTAAGGATGCGTGTCTGATCAGAAACGGTAGTGAGGAATATGTGAGGGATTGACAGCTGCCGTTATTCAGTAATGCGTTGGAATAAAGTATAAATCAGGAATAAAGTGAAGACTATTAATAGTATTAAAATGGGGGCAAAACTGTTTTACAAAATTAGAAAGCCAAAAGGAAAAAAAAGGGGTAGTTTTATTGAAAATATTATTTGTATAGTGTAAGTT